GGAAAAAACATAATAGTTGAGAAAATGTTTACGAAAAAATTTTAAAAATCCTGAGTTTACTGCACAAAAGCATAAAGGACTTATTGGCTAAGTGTTGGAAACAGTAAAGATCCTTTCCTTAATAGGATGATTTCAAAATAATTAATATCCAGAGCCGCATATAGGTATATACCCTGACCATTCATAGTTGTAATAAGTTGTTTTCTATTTCTTTTACCTTATGAGTTGAAGGACACACAAGAAAGTGTCATATGATCAGTTGCTCCTGAATCAAGAATCCAAATACCTTGAGACACATGACCAACAATATTCAGAAAAATCTAACCTTTCATGGACAGAGTACATGATCCAGAGGGCTTACTCATTGATTCAACCATTGTTTTCAAGTGCTCAAGTTCCTCCTTATAAACTTTCATAATCAAGATCTGGTGGTGGTGAAGAAGTACTAGATTCATTGGTGGGGGGGGCCTTTCTGTCTGAAGATAGTATGATTTATTTACCCATTCTTGGTAGACCCTTTGATGTTTCCGCGCTCGAGAACATTATTTCTTCCATGGAGTTGAAGATGTTTCCTTGGTATGTCCAGATCTTCTGCAATTGACAATAGTCCTCCATGAATACCATTTTTCAAACAATTTCCTTTGGCTTGTTTTCTTGTGAACTTCCTTCTGATTGTCATGGGCGAGCCTAGTTCGAGATTCCCCAGCAAGCTGACGTCTCGAGTTTTGTATCCTATTACCATAAAAAATATGTCTTATATGGATGGTAAATGTTTTCTTTCTAAGATTTGTACCCGATGGGGTCTGACTCCATGATTCGTCCATGGAGAAATTTAAAGATTCTTCCTCTTTCCATGGATTAAGCATGTGTGGGAGCATTTGTTTTACTTATCTTTATTGTTGGTACTGATTTAATTCAATCAAAAGTTCATTCAGGATTATGTGATATCTGATACAAAAAAGGAGTCCTGTTTTGTATTAAATATCCTGCCTTCAATGCATAGCATGTAGCAAAATCCTTTTTTTAATGAAAAAGTATTTTGTAAATCATCCCATATCTCTTTGGTAGAAGAATGAAACATATAGTTTCGACTTATCTCAGGAATTATGGAATGCCACATCCAAGTCACAATTAGTGAATCTTCATTGTCCCAACTTAGAAAACCTCCTCCATTTATGTGTTCTAATCTTGAATGTATCTGCTCCATTGTAAGAAATTCTTAACATCCAACCGATAGGCACCCACCACATTTGGAAGATCATTAGGACCCAAAAGAATAATTTTTACCTTAGACATCCCTTGGAACGCAATCAGGTGTCTCCGGTGATCCCTATCCGAGACAACAATGATGTGTGGGCTACATCGGGAAAAAGGAGTAGAACTCAAAACTCATATCTACTTAAATCTGGGCCAAATGAGATGTCACTAACCCATTGAACAGACTTAGGAAGCTTTGACAACCCTTTTCTATGACGGCTGCAACGAGTGGATCTCACTGGAGCTAGGCACTTGGGCTACACGTGCCGACGACTGTGGTGGCGTCTTTCCTGGAGCGATTTCCTTACACCTATTTGTAACAATTTAATCTTCCAAAAAATGAAAATAAGGTAACAATATACTAAAAAAAAACTAGAAGATGATTCAGATGTTTTCTCTAGAAAGATTTCTCTAATTACAACATAACTGCTGTATAGTTTTATAATCAATTGTTGCTGTCTGTAGATATTATTAAAAATGTTAATTGATCTTGCACAAACTGTGCTCAACATTATAATTCTTACTTTACCATATATATTTAAATAATGTGGTGTATAACATGTTATCCCTAGTATAATAATTTCTAACCACTTAAAATGACCAATGCAGGTGCATGGGATGCAGTTGTGACGTGTTTCTTTATTGATACCGCTCATAACATTGTTGAGTATATTGAAATAATTTCAAAAATTTTGAAAGATGGGGGAGTGAGTTCCTGAATCAAAATCACAAAATAGATAATGATTTATTTGTTGCCATTTATTTCATCTTTGTTCTTCATATTCAGATGATATTGATATCATATCATAACAGGTTTGGATAAACTTGGGACCTCTACTATATCACTTTGCAGATGTGTATGGACAGGAAGATGTATAATTCATTTTTTTTTTTACTTATTATTAGTATTATTAGTATAGCATTTCATGCTTGTTGCTAATTTTTATCTGAAACTTGTCTGTAGGAGATGTCCATTGAATTGAGTTTGGAAGATGTTAAGAGTGTCGCAGTAAGTTATGGATTTGAATTTGAGGTAAGTTTTTTTTGTTGGATAATACCCTCTAGTTATGCAAGGTTTGAATTATCTAAATCATATTTGCATTATCTGTTGTGTTGGTTGTAGAAAGAAAGCACAATTGAGACAACTTACACCACAAATCCTAGATCAATGATGCAAGTAAGCTTCTAACTCTGCATAAACTCTCATCTCCTTTTGCATCTATGTTCTTAAATTCCTAGCATGTCATAACTTCTTAGTTCCAAAATTTCAAACTGCCTAAATCTGAGTTGGGAATAACTTTTAACATATGAATTCAATGTTTAAGTGTGCAGAGACAGTTTCTGATGTGAATGGATCTTGAAAACTCATTAATTTTAATATATATATATATATATATATATATA